ATACACTAATAGAAAATAAGGAAGGGCAATGGTAAAATGCCAATGCGAAATGCAGTCAATTGAAATGCAGAGAAGCCCCTTGAAAAGAGGATGTGGAAGTCACAACTCGAAGTCAAAGGCGAAAAGAAAAACTACTGCCAGGCAAATTGGCTATGCAAACTGTGCAAAATGGCTGCTTCAGCGAGCAGCGACAAACAAGAGGGCAAAACGAGCAGGAAACGGGAGGAGAGTTTTCCTCGCTATTCCTTAGTTTTCTTTGGGCAAACCGTCCCCTTCAAGTATTGACAACATCGTCAAAAGGGGGAGCAGGCGGAAACGTGGGACAACCAAGTCACTGGTCGCCGTTCGAATTGAAAACTGTAGTCGTCGCCTGTAGTTGCACTTTAGATTTATTGATTGTCTCAGTGCGTCGCTGGCCTTGGCGTGTCCAAATGTGTTCGGCAGTCCTTCGAAGTCCTTCCCGGTCCTGGCTTATTGCTGTTGGAAAAACTTGCACAAGCACCGACAACAATGCTGATGATGACAGCCAGCACTGCTGGACTCGTTGTCCCCCTTTTTTTTTTTTTTTGTATCCCAGTGTCCTACACGTCCTCGAACGCACTTTTTTTATACATCATACACAGGAAGTAAAAAAATATATAGCTGAACACATATATTTATTTATTTTCCCATGTTTTATTTGTTAAATTTATGTTCAGCTTTTAATCTTTGATTTTCTTTAGGCCAAACACAGAAAGCTTAATAAGAGAAATATTATAGTTATTGTTTCTTCTATTTTCATTAAAAATTTTCTTCAACCTAATATTTAAGTGTGTGGTAAATTTTTCAAAATTATAAGAAGCTTTCATGTTCCTAGTTTTCTACATATTTCAAATATTTTTTATATATTCCCAGTTTCAAGGAATTTTTTTGCTCATTTGTGCGCTTGACTCAACACTTTTCACAGTGGCTTCGTTCCTTTTTTTATAAGCTCTCGACGCGTAAACTTTCTGCAGTGCAATGCGGATTGAAATTCTTTTGTGTTTACAGCGGAATTCCTTCTTTATTTTCTTTCATTACATATTATTTGCCACTGCTGGCAGCTATTGGTGGCCAAAAGCCCCAGAGGCAAGCGCTCGTTTCGGTCCGGAGTCCGGACCGGTCCGAGTTGATTTACCTTTAAAGCGTTGCTCATACGCCACGTGGTACGTTGGAAAAATGCGGAATTTAATATTTTTAATTACGCTCATTTCAGCTTGCTTTTTTATGTTTACATTTCAATAAATTTCCACTCGGGCTTCGTCAGCCCTTTCATCACTTTTTTCGCGTTTTTATTTCGCTCCTCCGAGCTCTTGTCATCATCAACACTCCTTTAGCTGTTGCTCCTGGTTCCCGGCAGGACCTTCTCCCGATTCCGCGGCTCATGCTGCTCGACTAACGAATTTGGTGGCGCATAATGAGTTTTTGTTTCCGTCAGCTTAAGTTCCCCAGGAAGCTGGAGCTGGAGCGGCAACAACAATTACCATTGCCATTTAATTAAAAATTGCAGAATAATTATTTTTCTTTTTCGCTCGCTCGCGCTTCTTGTTTTCTTTTGGCGCTCTCCGCCTTCCCACGTTCGTACTTCGCGAGGAAAAACTTTTAAATAAACAAAGGCGCGCCCTCTGCAATTTGAAAATCTGCAAATTAGCACAAATGCAGCTTGTGGAGGGATTGAGGGGAGGCTTGTGGACTGGCAGCAGGCAGGCCGGCTTGAGGAAAGATTGAAGGTGCATGGAAATGTGGAAAGTGGGTTAAGGGGAAACTGCCAACTAGAAAATCGGAAAAAGGGCCAACGGGAAGCTCCCATTCTTTCTCTCTCTCTGTGAACAAGGGAAATGCAGCGACAAAGTGAAGTTTTCAATTACATTAAATCCGCTGCGCAAAGTTATCGTCACGCACAGTTGACAATTTATTTGTTCGGCGACTAGTTTCCTGCGCTGCTAGCAACACGTTCTTGGCCCGCACAAATGTCAGTTTAAGAGCTTTGTTCAAATGCGTTAATAAAATATTTTTCCACCTTTTTTTTCCTCTCACACGGCTCAACATCATTATCGTTGTCGTCGTTGGTCGTAGTGTGTGTGTGGAAAAGTTTCGCCCAGTTGTTGCTACAGGTGTTTCCTGACACACATCGCGTATGCGCAACTTTTGGGCCTACCCAGAAAAGTTTTTCAACAACTTTGGCTTTAATTCCCCCCCAAAAAGAGACTCGTTTGCCTGCAAACTTAAATAAGGTTTTGGGCATAATGATTACAGTTCGTTTCGGGTTCAGTTTCTGTTTCAGTTGGGCGTGAAGCGCTGACAAATGCTGTCAATATATCAAGAGTAAACCGTAAATGATGAGACCATTTATATTGGTGCAGCAGGAGGAGCTGCAGCAATGCAAACTCGGTGGATGCCAGTGCAGCAGGTACACTGGTAGAAATTGATAAAGTTGCTGGTATTAAAAGCAAATCAAAAAAATATTATATTAAAGAAATTATAATTAAAACTTAAGAGTATTTTCCTAAATGTATTCTTATTATTTATTATCAGGATCGAAGGACCTATATTTTATATTTTATATCTTTCCTCTTTTTTCACCAGCTACTAAATATTTTCTCTTCCCACTTTTCAACCATTGTTTTAATAGTAATTAAAGCAGCTTCACTGATTTATTCAAGTGCAGTTTGCGTGCTGCCTCTGTGGCAGGCAATAAGTTGAAAACCGAGACAGCCGAGACAGCGTCAGCATTCAAGAATCCAGCTTAAGTAGCTGTTGGTGGCTCTAGCCAGCTCCTGATCCTGCTACTGCTCCTGCTACTGCTCCTGCTTTCGCCTCAACCTGCCACTTGATGTATATTTCGGCAACATTATACCCAAACGCTTAATACTTTATGCTTATTTTGTGCTCCCACAAGCGCAGGCGAGGCGCTGAAGAGGTTTGTTGGAAATTTATTTTCCGCTTTGGCAGCAGGATAAAGTTGTCTAGCTCAGCCTGTTTCGGCTGCAACTCTCTCTCGCCTGCGGCTTATGATAAACTGGGCTGCACTTAAGCTCCTTCGCATGCGAGTGCAGCTATGTGCTCGTATTTACAGTTGGCTCTCCTGCAACTCAATTTGGTTATGCGGGGTGTGTGTTTGTGTATGTGTGTGCCAGGGTAAGCTGCTTAAAACTTAAATAAATTTCGTTTGTGACCGTGCTTCTTTACCAGATATGCGTCTATATACTATATAAAATACGTAGAGCATTTTTATATAAATTGCTAGTCGATTTCTTAACCGGCCACTGCAGCCAGCAGAGGCAACAGAGCTTAAGTTGACCAGCTGATGTCGAGCTGGGGATTTCCGAAGCACTTGGAGAAATTTCCGGAAAAAAAAAAGAAGTTTTCATACTGTTTTAATTGACTTTACAGCTGTTTTTAATTGGGATTCCCATTCCTGATAATTAATTAAATCACGAAAATCTCGCTTGGCTTCCTATATTTCAAGGAAAATCCTCCTCCAACTTTGTATATTTAACAGTTGACGAATTTACAGAAATTCATATTGGATCCAGGAATCAGCACCAGCTACCACTTCCTGAAATTTTTTAAACTTTTACCGTAAATTCAATGCTATTGCGAGGAAATTTTCGACTTCCCGCGGCATTTTTCCTGCGTGCAGAATTATGCATTTTCCAGGGATTGAGGTGAGCCATAAGCAGTGGCAGTAACAACGGGACAAAAGCTTTTCATTATGCACGCCACTCGCCGGCGAACAACGCGAACGAACAGCAGCTCAAAAGGGCAAAAGCTGCTCGGGGGAAAATCCCTTCGCAACCCAACAACTTCCTGGCCGTCAAGTGCACTTTTTTGTATGCCTTTCATCAAAACACTTAATTTGCATAATTTTTGTGAAGAGAGAGAGAGGGAGCGAGTTGGCCATCCGCCAGAAAGCATCAAGAGCAGAAAGTATGAGACGATTTAATTCCGGCAGCTTTAATAAAATGCAATTGCAACTACCTGGAAACTTTTCGCTGCCAGGCAGTGAAGCCCCTTTGTGGCCTGGTAATCTAATACTTTTGCTTCATTTACCATTATGAAATTTCGTGCACTTTGCATTTTTCACAAAAATGCTGCAAAACCGGGGCACAGACAAGAACATTTTTTTTTTCGACGGCAGCAGAATGCATTTTCTACTAAATCAGCCTAATGCACTCAGTGACCCCCACACCACACCACTATCAGGCCGAAAAATATGGCCCAAAGCAACAAGCCAATGGGATGAAAAATCCGGTAAAATGTAGGAGAAAGGCAGCGGATGTTATGCAATAAATTTAATCTGGCCAGCGATAGTTGAGGTAACTAGGAAAAGTTAATGCCTTCCACAAGCTCCAACAAAGCCAGACAGGGGGAAGGTTCAAGTTCGATAAGAGAGAGAGGTTCAATGATTGAGAAAATTAAATGTGCTATGTTTTATCAGCTAGAAATAAATTAAATAAAAGTTAAGTTAAAGCCAGTTAAGGGATCAGGTAAATGGGTTCAACTTAAATACTCGTAATTGATTTAGAAATTTATTTTAGACTGGGAATTGAAGTGGGTTACATTGAGTTTTTATGGGATTTGATGAGGTAAAGGTTATGTGAGGTTCATTAAATGAAGGTTTGGATTTAATAATAATAATAAATATTATTATAAAGGAAAAATTATAAAACTTACCGAGATTTAAGTAGATATTTTGTAAGGAATTTCTTGTATTTCATGTATTAAATTTTAATAAAATAAAATAAAATACAAAACAAATAACAAAAGCCAAAAAGGATTCCATTAATAATTGATTTAAATCAGTTACCCCACAGCCTTTTCTATAAAAAGTATCAATAAGCCCAACCTTAACAATAAAGCCGACTTTTCCTACGACATTTGACCCATTTGACCGCACACTAGACCCCCCTTTGTAGACACTCCATTTAAACCCTACTATATAATTAACCTTCGCCCTCTTTTTGTGTTTTTCGTTGCAGCTAAGCGATGACATTGGCTACGTGCTGTACTCGGCACTGGGCTCCTTCTACATACCCAGCTGCATTATGGTCTTTGTGTACATACGAATTTACTTTGCCGCCAAGGCACGGGCGAGGAGAGGCATTAAAAAGCATCCCCGCAAAACGAACAACGAACAGGTGAGTGTGTAGAGCGATTATTTATGAGTTTTGACCCCCTAGAATGGGAGGGAGTGTGTGTGTGTGTGTGTGTGTGTAATGAACTTTGATAAAAGCACTCCCCAATTGCACACTCAGACTCACTTCGGTGGGGGATGGGTGTTGTATTAATGCGGTTTGCCGCAAAATGTGCCGGCATTGTAAATGGAAATTTGTTCGTTTCAATGAACAAATGTAATTTTTCTAACCCGGTGTAATTTTAGGCCTATCAATGCACAGAAAACAAATATTAAAAGTCCTTTTTAAGCAGGAAAATGTATTAAAAATAAAAGAATAGTTTTTAAGAGGTTTTTGTCTATTAAATTTTAGATTTAATAACCCATTTAACCTTTTATATTTAATATTCCTTTATAATACAAATTATTTTTACCTTTTTCCATATTTTAAAAATAGTTTTCCTTGCACCTGCTCGTACTCTATCATATCCTCTTCCAATTCCTATTATATTTACATCAAAACCTCTCAACTGAATACCTTTTTTCTGTGTGTGCATATGTAATATTCAAACACCTTTCACCCTTGGCCCAAAAGTAATTGTGCATTACGCCAGGAAGCTGCAAATTGAGCACACATGCTTCGCTTCAATTTCCCATCAACAACTTGTGGGCTACGTGTCGGATTTACCTCCCACTGATACCCTGCCGTCGCCACCCATCAACTCGTCATGCCTCTCTCCTATCAGGAATTGCTGTTTGCCAACCTTGCAATTTTGGCCGATGCAGCAGTTGGCCACGTTAGCAGGAGCGCACCCATTATGCAGGGCCATTCAACGGAATGGCATTTGCTGACTCCACACACACATGCACATACCCTCTCTTCACGGTCTTTGTTGGGGAAATTATCGCTGAAAATTTAATCGAAACTCCGCCCCAAAATCCACTGATTGAGTGAAAAGTCTCTAATGATCGTCAATTACCTGCCGCAACGAGCCCAATTCATACGCAATTTGCATTTTCAATTAACTGTATGCGCAATGCACACACAGACACACACTCACACAACAAAAGAGAAAAATGAGGAAAAGCGGTGGAAAACACTGCCGTGCCGTGTCTGGTCCAACGCTGGCAATATCAGCGACACTTCTGGACCATTTTGTGCAAACAAATTCAAGAGCAGCGGCCCAAACGAGCGATTAACGGGCAGCAGCGGGATGCAGTTGCAGAGGGGGGGAAAAACAAGCAGAGGCACTGAAGGAAGAGGGGGAGGATGAGGAGCAGGAGCAGGGAAAACTGTGGAAAAGCAGGGTAAAACAGAGAGGAGATTCCCACACACACATATGCAATGGAGCATTGTTTGTTATACTCTTTAAAAAGGCAAGGAATGTTGAGTTTTCAAGGGGAAAATAGTAAGAAAAACAATGAATTTAAAATGTTAAAAAATAAATATATAGAAATAGTATACGTTTAGGTAGAAACTAAATTGATTTATAATATTTTACTACATTAGGAAAAAGGTTAGATTAATCAATAGATTATAGTTATTTCAACCAAAAATTAGTTGTTTATTTTTAACAGCATTTTCTGGTTTGTTTGAAAACATAATCCTGCCAATTGAAATATAATATTGCTCATTAAATATGAAATAACTAGGGATTTACTTTCAATTGTTTCTAGAAACTCCCTCTTCTTAGTAAATTACTCATTTAAAAGAAAAGAAAGGGTACTAAAAGAATCGTTTTCCCTTTTCAAACTGCATTTATTTTCACTTTTCGGACGCTCTCTCTGCTCTGTGTCTCTGTTAATTGCCCCGGGTAATTGTTGCTGCTTTTCGCGCATTGAATATGCACAAGGCCCCCCTTTCCCCTTTTTTGAGGGTGTCCCCCTTTGACACCCCCCTTTTCGCCCCTCGAGCGGCAACAGTTCTCGCTTGCTCCATGTTTGTGTAATCCGCGCGCTCGGACGCGTTTCTCCCGGCTGTTGGCTTAAACAGGATTTTCGAAATGGAAAACTGTTGTAGCAAGGGTTGGGCCATCTGTCCACGATTTCGGCTGCAACTGGCACAAGTGCGGATCTGGGAACCTAATTTGCAATGCCAGAGCATATGAGAGACGAGGGTTAATCACCACTGCAAAGCTTCAAGGACTGTGTGCCTTGAGCAATGCTCACTGAAAGTGATTTATCACTTAAAAACATAGTAAAGAAATCATAGCTTCCATAGAAACAGTCTTTTTTCCTATATTTTCCAAGGAACAAACAGCAGTTTCTTAAATAAATATATGAAAGATAAATAAATAAAAAGAATATCACACTTTCGAGTACCTACTGTACTTTACTTTTTCGTTTCACTAATGAGTGTTTACCTTTTTCCGGGCTTTCTCCCCAGGTAACGAGCTTCACCACCGCCAACAAGAAAGGTACAATACCGATGCCCTCCTCTAGCGGGGCGGCCGCCCTGCAGCTGCACCAGCAGCGACAGATAGCCACCATTGAGACGCCGCCAAACAGTGCCACGCTGCCCATGCAAATACCCACGGTCACCATGGACCTGGCCTCCGACATTTCCACCTCGGAGGCCGGCGAATTGGAGGCCGTGGCGGCACAGACAGTGCTGGCCTATTCCAATCCCAATGGGGCGGGCACAAATGCGTCGGTCACCGTGGTGGCCAGCGGGAATGGTGGAACTGGTGCACCCGCCTCGCCCAAAGAGACGTTGCAGGTAAGCACGATAGCCACCGGACGGGTGGGTCTCAATGTGCCCGTCCCGCCGTCCATGGGCAGCAACAACAGCATCAATGCGCTGAACAACAACAACGGCAGCGTGGTGGCCTCGGAAAGCGCCGCCGGAGTGGCGGCCAGTGGTAATGGCGGCAATGGAAGTGCCGGCGGAGCCGTTGGACCGGCCACTCCGGGCAACGAGCTGCGCGTCTCGCCGATCGCCGGACGGTGTCGCGCCTTATCCGTGGGCGTGGACACGGACATGGTGAGTGAATTCGATCCCTCCAGCAGCGATTCGGGCGTGGTCAGTCGCTGTGCCGTGGTCAAGCCGCTCAAGTTTCGCCTTTGCCAGCCGATCTTCGGGCGCAAGTCCAACCAGCAGCGTCGCAACGAGGCCAAAACGGCGGCCAAGAACCAGCAGCAGACCACCAAGAGCCAACAGCAGCAGCAGCAAAAGCAACAGCAGCAACACCAGGTGGTGAAGGCGGAACTGGAGCCGGCCATACCAAAGACACCGAAGCCCCGGGATCCGGAAAAGGAGAAGCGTCGGATTGCGAGGAAAAAGGAGAAGCGGGCCACACTGATCCTGGGCCTGATCATGGGCAGCTTCATTGCCTGCTGGCTGCCGTTCTTCTTTCTCTACATCCTGGTGCCGGCCTGCGGTGACCTCTGCCACGTACCGGACTCGGCGTTCGCGGTCGCCTTCTGGCTGGGCTACATGAACTCGGCCCTCAATCCGGCCATCTACACCATCTTCAACAAGGACTTCCGTCGAGCCTTCCGGCGCATCCTGTTCAAGTGATGTTTGGCCTACGTGTGCTGTTACAGGTGCGTTTACGCCAGCATCGAGAAGGCAACCGAACGTGCCATGGGCAGCACACCCATGGGCTATGGTCATGGCATGTATCAGCACTACAGGCGTTAGATTTGCTTCGTATTGGTATAGATATCTGGTTTCCTTTGACTTTTCCCAAAACCAATTTCCTTTCCCAGAGCTAAAAGAAGTAAAGTGGGTTCTATCGATATTTCTTGTAATTTTGTAATCGAGTTTTATCGATTGTTTTGTTTTTTTAAAGGAAAGATAATCTAAATATGAAGAGCACAATAGCTTTAAACTAAAATTACTTAAAACATCAATACCCGATTATTCTCAAGCAAAACTTCCCTTCAATGGCATAATTTCGATAATATTTCAATATCGAAACCATCAATAGTTCTTCAGCTCTATCCCCACCCATTCCCTTACCACTTTTCCCACTCTTTCTTTGAATTTTTGGTTTGTATAAAAATAAAAGTAACGAACATTGTAGCTCATTTCAAAAGCAATGAACGGCTGTGAATTTGATGGAATCTCTCAATTTCAATTTACGCATTTTGGTTTCTTTTCGTTTGGTTTCGGTCCTCAAGCACCCTTGAACCCTTGAGCCCCCAATTCCGTTGCCCTGTGTAACCCCGTACGTCCGCCTCCGCACACTTTTCACACTCGACGAGGAGCTCATAGAAATGCATGAGCTGTGCAAACAAGAATCTGAGCTGGGCAAACATCTATTATGCTCCCTGAATGAGGGGGGGATGTGTCCGCCTGCGACGTCTATGGCCATTCAACTTGAAATAATTTCGCAAATTTCCATTTGCGGCTGCATTGCCAATGCCAAACACTTTTGTCCCACTGCAATTGGTGGTGGCATTAAGGTGGCTCCTCCATTGTTGTGTGTGGTGGTGGCTTGGCAATCAAAATCGAGGTCAACAAGTGTGCGAAAATTAATTTAATTCCTTTTTAATACTCCTGGCAACGACTTATTCGATTCGTTCGCTGGATCTATGCGATTTGGGGCGCCGTCAATTGCAAAGCTGCATTTTGGCCTGGGGCCAGATCAATATTTTCTTGTTCACATAAATGTAAAAGTACATACATATAATCCAGCACACAATTCGGTGTAACTAAGTGAGCCAGCACCCCAGATATAGATACAGCCAGAGATACAGATACACTTACAGATACCGAAACAGCGACAGATTCCTCTACAAGGCAGCTGCAGTTTATTCAATCACTCAAAGATATTTCACTCAGCGACACAGAAAGTGGGAGCCCCGAAAGAAAAATAAACCAAATGTATGGGAACCGATGCCTAATGGGCACACACAAATGCAAATGCAAATTGTTTGGCTTATGCACTAAAAAAAATATTAAAAATTTTGGGCGGAGTTTTTTTTTAAATTGCATCTTCAAAAAGCAGTAATTATTATACCTCAAAAAGTTATTTTATACACATTTTTTGAGCTCAAAATTGAGGAGTAAATTCCTCCTCGACCTTTGCCGCTCATTGGGTTTATGCTCATTGGGTTTATCGAAAACTATCGATATCTTCGATATATTTTATAAATCGAAAAACTGAAATAGAAATGAAATATATAACATACTTTTATATAATGGATATTTTAATATTAAATTCGATAATTTTGTGTATTAAAAATTCTAATATATTGAACTTTACGATAGTTTTGATATTTTGTCGATATATCATATCGGATTTTTCCTCTTGATGTATCTACTTCTCTAGATTCTATTTTTGTGTACCTCTCCTATATTTAATCCTCCTTAAGATACATTTTAAATAAAATATTTCTTCAAGTGCTCGGCATTCGCTTTCACTATTTTCTCCACCATTTCCCACTTTAGTTTTTGGCTATGCATCAGCAAATGCATGTGCCCGGCCGAGTGGAATAGACAGCCCGTCATTCAGTCAGTCAGTCAGTCAGTCATCCAGTCAGTCGAACGGACAGGAAAGACAGTCGTCACTGGAACGCTACAATGACACTGAGTTAGACGAAGACAGAGGCTGCGCAGGGGACGACAGGGACAGGAGCGGAGACTGTTTTTGGCATGTGGCCCAGAATGGCTCTCCATTTCGTTTGGCTCGGCTTGTTTTCCCGACCAAAGCCAAAAAATGGCAAGAAAAATACATAGTATATGCTGTACTAGACCGACCAGAACCCACACACACACGGAGCCTGCTCTGCCCAGGGTCTATGCATAAATTTTACGTACAATTTATTTTACTTCCCCTTTGATGGCCAGCCCGAGTGTCTCTCATATTTTTTCGGACACTTTGTGGCACACTAATGGCAAGGTGCAACAAAATCTGCCGGCCACTTGTAAACTCTATCGTTCCCAATTTTGTAATCTCCTCAGAACAATCTACAATCTCCGATGTGCCATCTAGTATAATCACTTCGTTGCAAGACTTTGAAATTTATGACAGCTCTTAGCATAGCCTCGTATGCTCCCCCTTTTCAACACATGTCGGCCAGTGGCAAAGTGCCGAAGATTGATCAGATTTATAGGCCCTGGCCATAGGCTAAGTGCCTGTGGTGGCTGAACGACTTCTTAAAATTGTTTAAGAACGCATAAATAATGTGTGCTGGAATTTGAATAAATGGGGAAAAATGGGGAAATCGGCACAAGAACTTTGATGGCAAACATCGCCTGCATTTTTTATGGGATCCTGTCGAACGGTTTTTGGCATTGTCAGCAATGTATGCGTGTGTACAACAACTGCACTCAAATGACAATTCGAACAACGACAGAAAGTCCAACAATAACAGCTCCAGCAACAACCTAAATGCCACGAACAAAAACCAAAAAAAAAAAAGGACCATCGTGCACAAAGCGAAATCGAAAACAATTGAAATCGACAGCCAGGGGTAAAAGGGATGTAGCATAGTTCAGGAGGAAGGGTACTACTGCAGCAGGCACATTAAAATGCGCGAATACACGGAGGGAAAATGAAGATATGAATATGATTATATACCTAGAGGGGGTTCCTTTAAAAATCCGTAATATCTTAGAATTTCCTAGAATTTCGTAATATTTTAGAGATTTTTTTTCATACCAAAAGGATTTTTGTAATCCTCATGTAATATTTTTCAGTGCACACCCCACACACAGCACTTAACTGCACTTAGGTGCGACAGCCAGATGAGTGTCGAGCGGCATTGCACGGCTGGCATTGTTTTGCCTGGCACACTGAAAGTCATTTTCACTTAAAGCTTGAAAGAAAAAAAACAGAAAACACCGCCAGGCATTTTAGACCACACTGCGTATACGCAATGCCAGGCTTTGTCTCCTTTCTGGTTGCTTCTCCCTCTTTTCGGTGTGGCTTCCCTGGGCTTTGGTGTAGAGACCCATTAATAAAATTGCAATTAATGTCACAATTAGCAATCATCATAAATTAAATGCCTGCAAGAACTAAAAAATTTAACACAGAATAAAAAGGGAAGAAAAAAAAAACTGAAAAATGTGAAAACATTTTGAATAATGCAAAGCAATTTAAATTAATTCCCATAATTGAATTATGAGATTTAGGAATGCAAATTTTTCGCACTTAAACATTCTGTTTTGTTTGGGTTAATTGGTGCGACGATTGTTCCGAGTCAACATGGGAGTTGTCCCAGAATTTGGGTAAATACACAAATTAAGCGTGAAACAATTGTGATAATTACATGAAAACATTTTAGATTACTGCCTTTTTTTCTTTTATATATTTGGTTTTATATTTTGTGCTTGTGAAATTGAATTATTTATCGCGGCAAATGCGTAAATTAGAATTTGCATTTCTGTCAACATCTATTTCGGCGCCATGCATTATATGCCATAAGCCAATTTAATGCCTGATTAACTTGGCAAATTGCAGAGCACACCGGGCCCCTATCCGGGTGTATTTATACAAAATCGGATAGACAGGGGCCAAAGAGGGCTTTTGGTTTAAAATTGCAATTCTGTTTGCGGTTGCGGATGGTTCTGAATAAATATTTGAGTGCCATTCTTTTTCGAACATTACAGCTGTCGATTCATGCAAACAAATGTTTATTTATGCGTAACTTTAGCCCCATAATTATTCTAGCCGAAATAGCAACTAAATTACACTTGAACACAAATGAATTCGCAATTAAAGCTTCTAAGCGAATCAATGAAAATTATTTACGACCCTTCCACATGATAAACACGTGCGGAAGAATGCATTGTTGCAGAAACTGAACTAGTGTACAGATTGGAATTTTCTGCGGATCTGGAGATACAGATATGTATTTATAGATTTTGTTTTGCAGCAATTATCGTGACCATTAGGCTGCAGGTTGAATCACAAAAATGTTGGACGCTTTCTGGCCTGCATATTAATTAATAAAGTAAAAAAGCCATAAATGTAAAACTCATAACGACAAATGTTGGACCATAAATATGCACTTAGGTATTTATGCGCATTGACAGCATGAATATTTATGAGGCAATGACGACAGCAGCGCAGCGATGGCGGCCATTAAAATGCGCCCCCCTCCGTTGATTAATTGGAAAAGTTGGCTCTTCGGTTCAACGGGTCGTATGCTTGATGACGATGTTATTTCCTCCCCTCCTCTCCCCTCCCCGTGCCCACACCCAAAACTAAGCAAATCCAATGCCTGTGTTGAGGTTTAGTAGAAAGTAGAAGAAAGGAACTTATTTGTTTGCCATTAGATATAGCCATGCGACCATTTAAGTTCAAGTTTAGAGACAAAAAAGAATATATATTACAATGACTGAAATGTTTAATGAAATTATTTCATTATAAAAACCAAATAAGAACAAATAAAAACCAAACAAATTGCAAGTAACTTGAGCGTATTTCAATATTTAAACTTAAAATTTTTGCTAATTATAAACTAGACACAAATATATTATATATAAATATTGAAGATAATTAAACAGAAATATATTAAAGTTGAATTTTGAAATTAGATAAACGCAAACGGCGGGTATTTAGCATTATTTCTAGTTACCGATAAATAGAAAAGTTTACTCATTTAACTGTATCGTACCACATATGCATAGCAAACAAATTTTAACTCATCTTCTCTCATATGTGTGTGTCTGTTCCACAAAAAACCAAAATTATGAAAATACCACCAGCCAGAAGATAATAGCGATACTTCATGTACAATCTGTGAGTACACTCTATACATATATCAAAGCAAGCGGTAAAGAATCAAAATCAAATTAATCGAGGAGATATATAAGTAAAGCGAATACAAGTTAAAAGAATACCTACATTTTAAGCGGAAGTCTTCCACTACAATTACGCTCTCTCCACTTGAATTACACTTTGCGTTCTCCCTCGATTTACCGACTTCAACTATGTAACTATAATGTGTGTATATTAAATAAGTGTATGTATTCCGAAAGGTTTCTTCCCGAAAAAAACAAAAAAAACACAAAGCATAAACTTACATTAAGAACGCTGCACAAATTTGCATGTTAGTTTCCTTAGCCATGTAAGTTATGGTTAATAAACTGTAGTTAACAAAGGGTAAAATACACACAGAGATTAAGTAAGTAAGGAACTATGTTTAGTCGTTGTTGTTGATTTTCAGCTGAGAGCATTTTTATTACTTTTCGTTACATAACAAATATATTTGTAGTAGTGTCCACATAGCTAACAACGAAGTAACATGGTGCTATGAGTTACGATTCTCCTCGGTTCATCATCGGTTCATCCACATCCATCACTCGCAGGGTGGTCAAAGCGTTAAAATCTGAGCCCCTTTTAACGTCTTGGTTGCATGTAGAGCACACACTCACCACCCACAAGAGAACTTAAATCAAAATTCAAAGTATATTGTTAAGAGAGCATTTCAAACTTACTTAGCCTAACCACTAAGCATTGTAAATACCTATAAATTACGACATGTTATAGTTCATACATCCTAAATATACTACGATTACGATTACGATTACGATTAACGATAATGAAAAAAAAAACATGTAAATTGAAGCAACCGAAAAATTGCAAATTGAAGCCACCAAAGAATTGAATTTTCGCATGTAAGTCATGAGAACAAGTAAACTAAAAAGTATTTAATTATACCAAAGCTAAGACTAGGTGTAAGCCGAACCCTATCCCCAAATTTCTGGCCCCGAATCACAACAATAGTTGGCAACTTTTAGCATTTAGGCAATCATATATCATAGTTCAACTAAAAACTAAACTAAATGAAACTCAAGCGAGCAGTCCCCCCAGGAAATGTAAATTTCTGTGAAAGCAGCAGCAAAACACCAACAAACTAAAAAAAAACGCATTTAAAACTTTAAGTTTTGTTGTTTTTTCTA